TAACTAGTTGTAATCATATAGCAACATACGGTAAATGCTAATGTGTGGCTATTTTATTGTGTAATATGATAGTAAATAGTGCCTAATTCAGGTGCTGTTAAGCCATAGTTTGATTGGAATTACCCTGTAAATTGTTTTTAATTACTAAATAATTACCTTTTAAATGAAGACCTGTTCTGAAAAATGGCGCCTCTGGTGATAACTCGCTGTTTGTTGTCCTTGGTTTGAATGTTTTTTTTTTGCTTTTAGCCAGTCTTTTGCTATCTGTGCATGCTGGGTATGTCTACGATCGCTTGACTTTATTTAAGATCAGGCTCTTCAGCAGGATTGCTATTGCCTACTGTGGAGGATTATTGGAAGACAATGCCTCCTTACCTGTATGGTGTGTCGACAGGATGGCAACTGTCGCCACCGCTGCTTTCTCTGAAGAGAAAACACAGAAAGCGACGATGCCGGGGAGCATGACTGGTAAAGCTGAAGGCTTGGGTAGCTGCTCTGACAGACCAATCACAGCTTTCCAGGTGAGACTTGGATAAACTCGGGGTTCCTTAGCGGATACGTGAATGGGGTAGTACGTGGCTCACCTTTATTGTTGGGGATGCGTCGGAAGATGTCGTTTGCCCCCCCGCTTTCTCCAGCGGTGTGATCACAATGGAGTGGATTTCCGGAATCTTTGACGTCCAACTAGAATCCCACATGTCAACCTGGGTTTTGGATAACGCGCATCTGAAATGAGGCCTGGTGAATGCTAGGTCAGCGGTAAACAAGTCTTTTATGGTTCGAGACTTTTTGGTTACACACAGTTTGGACAGTCTGTGTGTGACGGAACCCTGGATTTCGCCCGGTGAGTCGTCTGTTTTACAAGAACTAGTTCCAGCTGACTGTGTTTTTATCAATGTGCCACGACCGGCCCAGCGTGGTGGAGGACTGGTAGCAACTCGTAAAGCTAATTTTAGGATTAAGCGACTTCACCCTACATCCCATTACAGCAGCTTTGAATGATGTTTATTTGAACTTGGTCATCCGCAGCCTTTTTTATGTGCTGTAGCTCATCGGCCCCGAAGTACAACACGGACTTCATTCCTGAGTTTTTTGAATTCCTAGTGGACTATGTAGCCTGCTACAATCAAGTTTTATTACTCAGTGATTTTAACATTCATATGTGTTGTCCTTGAAAACCATTTGGAACTTGGTGAACTCTCTTTTCACACGTTGAACCTTGTCCTGTCATCTGGATGTTCGGTTCTTAATCTATGTGTCAATTACATTGTTTTCTGTCATGTTCTGTGTCCCTCTGTCCCCAGCCTCCTCCTGTTCTCCTCCAGGTTCTCCTCTTATGTCCCATTATTATTCCCAGCTCCCTCTAGGCTTCCCTCCAGTTATGAGTTGTTTATTTTTGCCCTTAGTCTTTAGGTTTAGTTATTCCTTGTTTTATAGGTTAATGTTTATCTTCCCTCCTGCTTGGTTCATTTCCCATTTAGTTTATTGAATGCACCTGCCTTCCCTCCAGATCTCACTCACACCTGTCACCTGTTCTCCTGACCACCTCCCTCTGTGTTTAAAAGCCCTGTCTTGTCCCTCTGTGTTTGTCGGTCCACTGCTGTGAGTCAGTGTTGTTTTGTTCCCTCGTCATGTTCTAGTCTTTGTGCTCATTATTAAGCTTTTGTTTTTTGGCTTCCTGATTTTCAGTTTTCTGGATTTGACTCCTGCATCTCTAAGTTATTTTGTGTTGCCACCTTAATAAAAGGATTTTACCTTTTTCAACTGCTCTTGCCTCAAGTCATTCTGGCTTCTGCGTTTTGGGTCCTACCTCCTCCTGCTCAGCGTGACAGAATGGACCGACCACACCTGGACCCAGCAGAAACCTGGACTCCACCAAAAACACCACTACAGGTACTGTGGAGACCCAGAGACTTGCCGTACCTACATCGAAGTCTGCGCTCGTTACCTGGACCTGGCTTCCTCGGAGCATGACAAAGTCTCCTTCATGGTATCTAATTTGGGTGTTAGCGCCCTGGTGTGGGCCATGGACTATCTTTCAGTACATCCATCCAGATCGGTGTCCTTCTGGGAGTTTGCCAGGCGTCTGCAGGAGACTTTTGGCCTTGGTTCATCTCCTGTTCATGCCTCCGACTCCACACCCCCGGGACACCAAGTCACCTCTTCCATATCTACTCTGTCAACCCCGAGTCATCATTACCCTCCTGCTACCATCAGATCCAGTTTCCTCTCCTCTTGCCCTGTTCCTGTTGACGCCGTCTCAACCTCCACATGACGACGACGCCGTAACCGTTGCCAGCAACCTTAATCCAAGCACCACCCGCCCGCTCCACATCCAGTTCCAGTGGGGGTCCCAGTAGACGCTCCACATCCAGTTCCGGTGGTGGTCCCAGAAGACGCACCGCATCCCGTTCCAGCGGTGGTCCTGGAGGTCGCATAGCACCCTGTTCCAGCGGTGGTCCTGGAGGTCACACCGGATCTGGTCCAGCCTGTCCAAGAGGCTCTGGTCCAGCCTGTCCAGGAGGTCCCGGTCCAGCCTGTCCAAGAGGCTCCGCCTACAGCAGCTCCACCTCCAGTCGCATCAGCCTCGCCTGTTCAAGAGGCTTCCCCTGCAGCGGCTCCGCCTACAGTCAAGTCAGCCCCGCCTGTCCAAGAGGCTCTCCATGCAGCGGCTACGCCTCCAGTCAAGTCAGCTCTGCTTGTCCAAGAGGTTCCGCCCCCGGTGCACCAGCCCGTCCAGGAGGTTTCGCCTGCAGCCAAGTCATCGGCGCCAACTTTGTCGTCTCCAGAGTCTTCGTCTTCACCCCTTCAGCCTGCGGACTCCACATCTTCGTCCCGTCAGCCTGCAGAGTCCACGTCCCCTCCTCAGTCTCCAGAGTCTTCGTACCCTCCTCAGTCTCCAGAGTCTTTGTCCCCTCCAGAGCCTTCGTCCCTTCCACACCCTCCAGAGCCTTCGTCCCTTCCTCACCCTCCAGAGCCTTCGTCCCTTCCTCACCCTCCAGAGTCTACATCCCCACCTACGTCCCTTCCAGAGTCTACGTCCCCGCCAGAGCCTTCGTCCCTTCCTCACCCGCCAGAGCCTTCGTTTCTTCCTCACCCTCCAGAGCCTTCGTCCCTTCCTCACCCTCCAGAGCCTTCGTCCCCTCCTCACCCTCCAGAGCCTTCGTCCCTTCCTCACCCTCCAGAGTCTGTGTCCCCGCCTACGTCCCTTCCAGAGTCTACGTCCCCGCCAGAGTCTTCGTCCCTTCAGCCTCATATGTCACCGTCCCCTCTGACTCCAGGCTGGTCATCGGCAGCCATCACCGCCAGTCCGGCTCTCGCCTACCGTTGCCGGCCCCCCAGACTTCCGCAGTCCCGTCTCCTGGTTCCCTGTCGCCAGCCCCCCAGACTCCCACAGTCCCGGCTCCTGGTTCCCCGTCACCGACTCTTTGAACTACTGAATCCTGATCATCTGCTGAAGTTAACCCCAGTGGTGCCCCAGATGATGTGTTGCCTTCTCGCTTGTTTAAGGAGTTTTTTTTTTTTGGCCGTCTTTCCTATAATAACTCAAATAATTAATCTGAGTTGATCCTCTGATGACGTTAAGAAATGGTCATCCATCCACTTCTGAAAAAGCCTGGGTTGGATGCCACACTTCCAGTGAACTTCAGGCCTCTTTCTAAGCATCCTTTTTTTTGACGAACTACTGCAGAAATGTGTATACATTCAGTTAATGGACTCCCTGAATGAAAATGGGATGTTGCAAACTTCAGTCAGGCTCTAAAGCTTGGTTTATGCTTGACGCATTCACTTTCCGCGCGGTGATGCGGCTCGAGGATGGAACGCGCTTCACAACTCGCAGTGTTTATGGTTCATGCGGCTCGTCTCTGCGGTGAGCCAATATTCTCCCAAACTGTAGGGGGCAGCATGGAGCTCTACGGCAAGCATCCAACACTACACCATAGTAGAAGTAGAAATTACTGTTTACAACATGACATTTCAGCATTTTTAACAGCGTTCTTGTCTTTTCCGACAGTGCGAGCTATTTCTCTCCAAGAATTATTAACAACATGTTGATCACGGTGATCTTTGAGAGCTGAATCATACAAATGTCTGTATTTACGAACCTCTGTCGTGCCGGTCCGCCATGTTTTTCCGCGTCCGACCGTCCGCGTGGTTAGAAATTTTCCGAGGTGAGCGTTGCGGAAATCTTGAGCCGTGCGGAGACGCGGTGAAGGGGCGTGGTTGTTAAAATGACGCAAAATGACGCAACTTTTCCGCGCGGAGCCATGCGGACCTCGCGGACGCGTCAAGCATAAACAACCTTAAGGCACAACACTGGTGAAAGTGATGAATGCTGGCCACATATCGTGGTGAGGCTGTCCTACTCGTTTGGCTTGACCTCACTGATGCTTTTGACACGGTGGATCACAATGTGCTAATTGACCACCTTGATTGTCTTGTACATGTAAGTCATTTTGCTAATGATTGTTGATAATTATTTTATTGTGCTTATATTTTATTTTTTTCACCAATTACTGCAGCTGTTTCCTAATGTTGGGATCCTGCTTACACATATGGCAATAAAGCACTTCTGATTTTGTATATATGTGGACGTTATGCATATATGCAATCATATTTAATCAATTAATCAATCAAGTTTATTTATAGAGAACTTTCCCTGGAAGGTGACCAAAATGATTTTAAATAAGAATGAAAATCCATTAGAAAAATAAACCAATGTAAGACCACAGATATAGCTTCAAACCTTAAGATCAGAAAGCTAAAATTTTTACATTTTGTGTTTCCATCCACACATTACTGAGGTTGCATACTGAAGATAATATTTTCTAAATAAGAAGTAAATAATTACTTTTGAATGTAACTCAGGGGCAGGATGAAGTTCATGCTTCTTGAACTGAAGTTTGTGTTGTGAAGATATTCAATAATATGGTTGTTGTTCACTTAGTTTCTCAATAATAGAAGTTTCAACTAAGTTAGGAAAGAGCTTTATGACTCACGTTCAATTATAACTTCTACAGTTTCTGTCATGGCCGTCCCCAGAGTGTTTGAGGCATAACAGCGGTATTTGCCCTCGTAGGATTTCAGGGGCACCTCTGGTTTTGCTTCCAGTGTTCCAGATCCTTGAGTCTCCGGTCCAAAGCTCTTCCCATCCTTTTCCCAGCGAAAACTGAAAAAAAGAGGGAAAATCAGCAGGCAGAGAAAGGTGCAAAAATAAGGGAACACATTTCTCATCCACAATTGATTTTTGTTTAATGATTTTAGGAAAATATTCTTCCATTTAGACCAAACACCAATCTCGAGACCAGAGACCTATACACAGCGTTGGGAGTAACGCGGTACAAAAGTAATTAATTACTGTAGTGCATTGCTTATTGCTGTAATGTCGTAATAAAGAAAATGGTAATCTTTACTCAGTACAATTGTCAGTAACGCAGTAATTACAATGCATTTTTAAACCCAGAATCAAGCTGCATTTCTTAAAAATTCAAATTGCGGGAAGCCCGAAAAAAGATCCAGTATCTGCATATATTACGTCATTTATGGACTCAGCTTTGCAGTCAGAGAGGACGCAGCAGTAACGGCTCAGGTACTCCAGCTGCGTCCTCCACGCGGCCGCCGTAACATTCACAAAATTGCTCCACTAAAACAAAATAATTCACCTGCGACCGTTCATATCAGCGCATATTCTCTGGTATTTTGTACTTTTCTGACGTGCTTTGCCTCAGCTGAGTTAATCTGGGCCCCGGTGATTTCAACTCATTGCTGCTGGAGCGCCGCACATGTGAAGATCCCTTTGGCTGATCGTTATAAAGTAGGAAGTCTAGGAAACAGTTTTTCTGGAAGACGGAGAAAACATGCAGCATGCAGGAAGGTTAGAGAGAGAAAGGGCAGGAAATTATTCAAATAAAATCAAGAAAACAAAACAAAGTGCTTGAAAAGAAAAAAGTAGGTAGATTTATCCCCAATACACATTTTTACCAGTGAAAAGCAATAATATATAAGCATTTAATATTTATACATGTGATAGAATCAGATCACCCCAGAAGCCAGTCCCACATCCAGGGCCGTATCAAGGCATTTGGGGACCAAGGCTAAATAGACTTGGAGCCCCCACCACCTCACTCCCTGCTCAGTTAATCTAAGATGGCAGCGTGCTGAGAGTACAGTTTGTTGTTGCATTTATTACATAAACAATCCTTCTAAAGAACTGTTTTTAACAGCAGTCCTGGCTCAGACACCACATCACCTTCCACCGGATGTGTCATGAGTTCACCGTGCATCAGATTACCAAACTCATACTGAAGTTGTTTTGGTGAAAGTAACTTAGAGTAATGCAAAAGTAGTGTAATGCCTTACATTTTAAAACCAGTAATATTGTAATGTAATGAATTACTTTAAAATGAGGGTAACAAGTAATAAATAATGCATTACAGTTTTGAAGTAACTTGCCCAACACTGCCTATACAACAGTCCACTTAGAGGATAGGAATGTTTCACAAAGAGAAGGCAGATCTTTTATAAAAGGAGCAAAAAAGCCATCTTGTGAAAAGATAAAAACCAACATTAACCAGAGAAGTAGCTCTGACTTGCTCCCCATCCAGCATGTAACCAGGACCAAACCCTAGTGACTCAGGAGAGGGCGGTGTATAGCTTACAGTTCATCACAGCTAAACTCCTTTAAGACCAGCATCACAAATTAGTACCTTCATCAGAAACCTGCCTCGTTTACTCTACACATGTCTGCTGAAAAGCCACTGCTCTCGTTGATTTGCATTCAAGTTGAATGCTTCATTAAGACATCATGTTCTATGTGTCGGACTCGTGGAGACCGGGCTTTTTCATTTCTCTGGAACCAGCTCCCACAGTCCGTCAGGCAGTCTACTTCTTAAGAGTGAAAATGAAGTTATGGATTTTAAATTCAGGCAGCAGGGGGACTTCTGGGTTACACACGGCATGTGAGGTGGAAGTCCTCGAGCCCAGTGGGTTACTCTACTTTAATTGTGCTCGTATGAGTGCTAATTGCTTTTGGATGTATAGTCTCTGAATGTTACGGGAGACTGCTGGAGGGATTAAAGTGCAGGCAGACCTTGCTTAAAGTTCATTGCTTCAACTGAAAATGGCTGGTTGGGCATCGGAGCCTGCTAATACTAGAAGAGCTAATGCTGAAGCTGATATGGATCATCTCTCTCCAGGCTTGGTTGAGAAGATTATGGCAGCGATTGAATAGCTGACCACAGAATTGGACATGCAATCATGTTATCTCTTATTTGACAGGATTTCCAAACTACCATTAGCTCTTTGTGGCCTGCTAATGCCCAAAATGCCAAGCGCCTTGAACAGCCTGTCACAGAGTGGAGCTCAGCTATTGTGGACCTGAAGGCTACAGTGAAGAAGTGTGTGGACCTGGAGGGTCAGAACCATCACCCCAAACTGGTGGGAATCGGAGAAGGAATCGAGGCAACCTGCAGCACTTCTGGAGATTCATAATAACTTAGGGTCTTCTTAACCTCTCCCACACAGTTATTTTTTCATTGTTTTTTTATTGATTATGTTTTGTGAGCCAGCTATCCATCCATCAATTTTAAGCCGCTTTTCCGGATAAATGTGCCAGCTATTAACTTACATTTCTGTGTGTGTAGTGAAGGAGTTCCTGGACTTGGAGGAAGCCCCAGAAGCAAAAGGACAGTTTGTTCTTTTTGTTGGCGAGCTTTATGGTCAACCTGTGATATATGCCTGTGTGCATGCACCAAAGTGAGACAACTCTACAGTATTAGTACGTTGTGCAAACATGGACAAAACTGTTGGCACCCTTCAGCCAATGAAAGAAAATCCTACAATGGTCACACAAATGTAACCAGTGAAAGTCAGACATTGCTATTCAACCATGCTTCAACAGAAATATTAAAGAAAATGAACTCATGGAACAGACATGGACAAAAATTAGTTGATTACAGCAATCAAACAGTTTCCGCACCAGGCAGAATTGTGCAGGTTTTGTAAGGCAAGGCAGCTTTACTTCTAGAGTACATTTCAAACACAGAAGCAATTCAATGTGCTTTACAATCATCAGGACATGATATGAAAACACATCGTCGTCGTCGTCTTCCTCCGCTTATCCGGGTCCGGGTCGCGGGGGCAGTATCCCAACTAGGGAGCTCCAGACCGTCCTCTCCCCGGCCACCTCCACCAGCTCCTCCGGCAGGACCTCAAGGCATTCCCGGACCAGATTGGAGACGTATCCTCTCCAATGTGTCCTGGGTCGACCCGGGGGCCTCCTGCCGGCAGGACATGCCCGAAACACCTCCCCAGGGAGGCGTCCAGGAGGCATCCTGACCAGATGCCCAAACCACCTCAACTGGCTCCTTTCGATCCGGAGGAGCAGTGGTTCTACTCCGAGTCCCTCCCGAATGTCCGAGCTCCTCACCCTATCTCTAAGGCTGAGCCTGGCCACCCTACGGAGGAAACTCATTTCGGCCGCTTGTATCCGCGATCTCGTTCTTTCGGTCATTACCCAAAGCTCATGACCATAGGTGAGGATTGGGACGTAGATCGACCGGTAAATCGAGAGCCTGGCTTTCTGGCTCAGCTCCCTCTTCCCCACGACAGATCGGCTCAACGTCCGCATCACTGCAGACGCCAAACCAATCCGCCTGTCGATCTCCCGATCCCTCCTACCCTCACTCGTGAACAAGACCCCGAGATACTTAAACTCCTCCACTTGAGGTAGGACTAATCCCCCGACCCGGAGTTGGCAAGCCACCCTTTTCCGGTCGAGAACCATGGTCTCAGATTTGGAGGTGATGATCCTCATCCCAGCCGCTTCACACTCGGCCGCGAACCTACCCAGCAAGAGCTGAAGGTCAGAGCTGGATGAAGCTTGGAGGACCACATCATCCGCAAAAAGCAGAGACGAGGTTCTCCTGCCACCAAACTCGACACATAAGAACACAAATTAAAATACACAGATAGAATTACAGTTTGGAGCTAAAAGAGAAGACCAAGTTACAGCACAGATTACAGTGGAGACGATGCAGCATAAGAAACAATTCATGTAAAGGCTGATGAGTACATTAGGGTGTTTAGTTGTGTTTTAAACAACTCTAATGTCTTTCCTTGAAGTCGCATTGATCAGATATACAATAAATAAATCAGTGGGCACGTCTGTTGCAGTCTGGGACTCCTTTCTTTCTCATGTGGAACAGCTAACTATGCACCAAGACTCTGTAAAGTGTGATAAGTGGGTAACTACTAAATAGGCATTTACTTATTTTCCCCTATTTTAGTTCTGTAGTCTTAGTGATTGCTTTTTTTGTTGCTTGTATTGTATTGTATTGTAACTGTTTTACTGTGTATTGCAATCATCATAAATAATCATCTTGGTTCAGTATAAATGTATTTAATTACTGAAATGACTTATTATGCTTTGGGTTAATAATAATAATTATTATGATAATCAGTAATGTGTGTTCAGTAAACCAGAAGGTCATTTGCACGTTAACCACCTCATGCAGAGGGTGAATCCAGGGTAAAGGTTAACCACCTCACATGTCTTTACTCCATAACATCAAGCTTTCTGATGCTGAGAGGGCGTGTTCTGAGGTTCTGTTAAAACCAAATCTCTGCAGCTGTAGTTCAATTCTTGAACCCACAAGAGGACGAGGGACGGCCGCCCAAGCCTCTACTAAGCTGTTCTGTCATGCCGATAGACTTGCTCCGAATAGACGCACCTGTTTCCAGCTGACGCAAAACTCCTTCAGAATTATTGATTTTGAGACGCAAATAGTTTCATCAGTCGTGTGACCCACGGAGACATCTCAGGACCGATTTGAGACGCACCGAGGTCTCCCTACCAACATCGTGCCCGGAGGAAACAATCTCCTGACATCTCGGATCCACGGAGGGTCTCCTGAACCGGGTGAGGTAGACATTGTCCGACAGATGGCGTCCGATGCTGTTCTCTAAGAAACAACTGAGTTAGCTGCAAAACAACTTTCCACCTAGAAGCGCTTCTCTCTCTGAAATAAATCTTCTGAGATAACATTCACACATCCAAACCTCGCATTCCACCTTAGTTTTCCATCCAGTCACAGGTTTGTTTTAATAAGTTTTAATATCAAGCTGTTCCAAATTGTCGGTTACAAATTGTCATTTCTTAATGGCCACCTTTAAAAATTGTTAGTAAAAAATTCTTAACTTTTTAGACCTGACTCTTCTTTGAAATGAAATACAGAATGGTGTATATTTGGTTTTTGAATAAGCAAAGATTCCTTTAAGGTTCTGATTCAATAAATAAACTTTTGCTATTAAATTTAATTATCTTAAATTAAACATTAATCTTTGGATTAAAATATAGACCAAGACAGTTAGTGTATGAACTTCTATCGACTGCATTAATATCCTAGATATTTGTGCATAAGTTCCTATGCTAATGTCCGATCTTTTCTCAGGATCTACCAAACTGAAGCAAACAGTGTTAAATCCTAGTATGTAGATGTGTCCATGCTACAGTATTTGAATACTCAATAAAGATATATTGATCAAAACAAATTCAGGCCGCAGAAAACAATTTAGGACAAACAAGAGAAAATATGAAATGAGACAGGGATTTCCTCTGATAGTATTAAGACTGTTTACTACCTTCCCAACAGAACTGCAGCACACACACATAAGCAGAGAGAGAGAGAGAAGGAGAGAGAGAGAGAGACCTACATGGGTGGAGGGTTTCCGGTGGCCTCACAGGGGAGCTTGATGTCCTCATGAGTCACGGCTGTGAATGCTGTGGGCACCTGTGTCAGCGTTGGAGGCATTGAGACTGAAAACACAAGCACAGACATAATATCAGCAGGAGTAAAGCCGGGCGTACACTGTGCGACTTTTTCACTTTTTTGAGCCGATTTTCCACTCGTGCGAGAATCCACGACATCGGGGCGAGTTTAACGCCGAGCGATCGTGTAGTGTACAGGGGGTTACGAGAGGCGATTAACACCACGTGACCAGCTACCGATCAGCAATCGTGAGGTCGCACGGACTTCTGGCGTGTTTAATATTTGGCTCGTCCCTCGTGAGGGTATCGCACTGTTGAAGCGGCGCTGCGACCCAAAATGTATCAGAACCGCTCACGGCGCATGCGCAATCCTGCATCAACACCGCTCACCCGCTATTTCCTTAATAACACACGCTGTTCGTTTTTGTTTCTACACGTTTTTTTTACTCACAAAGATTGTCAAGAAAGCGTGTTTGTCGTGTTCATGTCAAATTAAACTGATCACAAAACACAGATTTACTTTCTTTATTTGGTTTTCCTCATCCAGCCCCATAAATCCCTGTGTGTCCTCCTGCAGCACTCCCGAAGGACAACAGGCAAAACGAGACAAAACAGTCTGACGTGTTGAGTAAAAACTGCTATTTTTAGCATATTTTTAGGGCCGACGTGTTGCTACCAGACGTACAGTGTGAGCAGTCAGGTCGCATCCGAGAACTGGGTCGTGCAGTGTGAGCACATGACTCGTGAGATCTGCTCTGTGAGGAAGTCGTACAGTTTGAGCTGAAGCTGAGTGCTACGAGTGAAAAAGTCACACAGTGTACGCCCGGCTTAAGGCTTTCTACTAAGGGTGTCTGATATCATCTGCTGAAACTGGCTTTTACTTTTTTACACACCAAGTACATATACATGAAACTCGTCAGCTACTTCTCTCACTTATAATAAGAGTGATGGGTTAGGGGTTTCTTCTTTTATGAGAGGGAACAATGCAAATAATGGTATCAGTTTATACCTGTTACTAGGATTAAGAGTTAAACTATACTGGTACACCAGGTACTGGTACATCAGTTCAATTCAATTCAAGTTTATTTAAAAAGCGCCAAATCACGACAAGAGTCGTCTCAAGGACCTTCACGTAGTAAACATTACGATACAGGTCAGGTCATTAAGCCAATCAGTAACAAGTTTCCTATATAAGGAACCCAGCAGGTTGCATCAAGTCACCGACAAGTGTCAGTGACTATACAGCAATCCTCATACTAAGCAAGCAGTCAGCGACAGTGGAGAAGAAAACTCCCTTTTAACAGGAAGAAACCTCCAGAGAATCCTGGCTCAGTATAAGCAGCCATCCTCCACGACTCACTGGGGATGGAGAAGACAGAGCAGACACGCATGCATGCACGCACGCACGCACGCACACACACACACACACACACACACACACACACACACACACACGCATCACCTCCCATCTATGGCTACATTGTGATTTCTTAGTAAAAATTCTATTTGGTGAGAGATAGGGTTGGGCATCGAGCATCGATTGGAACTGGTTCCAACTGTTCATTTTACCCGGAATCGTTCAAAGTTTTTTATTTTGATTCCTAGTTTCGATTCCTAGAATGCCGACTGGAAGAGGAATTTGCGGCCGATCTCCGTGAAAAATAAACGTGATCTTCAAATTGTGATCAACGCTTTTCACACAAGCTGTGTGTGTGCAGCATGAGCCCCCCTCCCCCACCCGGATATAAACAAACGCGTCTGCTGAACTTTTACTCCGTAACGTGAACGTTAACTCCTGCAGCGTAGAGGAAACGTGTTAAATACGTCAACACGGTGGATTTAATAGAAGCTTTGAAGAACAAACTCTGGACGGTGTGAGGCGAGTTTGTCTCACTGCAGAAATAACAACACACACGGAGCGTCAGCAGTCAGACACAGCCAGCTACATTTAAGTTTCACTTCCTGTTGGGACTGCATGCTGCTGCAGCATGGAGGTGTAGTTCTCAGTCATCCTGGACATGATCATCCTGAGAGTTGTAGCTGAAAACAGCTGGACGTTTCTGGATATGTTGGAGACATTTAGCCTCTTATATTTTTCTACAAGAATATCTTGGTTTGTTTAATTTAAAAATGCATGGCATTGAAGGAATAAATGTGTGTTTATTCAACAAGAATTTCTGCATTTAGTGAACGCAAAAAATATGACATTGAAGCCCAAATTTCTTTGGTAGCCTTCCAGGATCATTTTAATTAGGTGCAGGGGCGGAGCTATGGGTGGGCCAATTTTAGTGTCTTATCATATTTTAGGGAAATCGATTGTCATCTTGATTGGTTTCCAACTGCTTCTGCTAAGATTTTCTTGATCAAGCTCACGTTCACTATGGTGAGTGATTTCATTGATCACCAGCTGCCTAAGGTCAAAAGTGACTACTCCCTCCTTTGCAAAGCTTTGAGGGAAGAATTCTCAGGTACAGCATGGTCAGCAGGTTTGAAACTTGCATGTCAATCAGGCATATTCCCTCGGAGGATCCAGGTGTGCTATTTTAGCTTTTTCTGTGCTTTCTTTGATCATTGAAATAAACTAGGTTTGGAGGAAAATAGTGACTTTAAAGAACAATTCCTCGAGAATCTGCATCCTTCAATCAGCAAGCATATGGGTGTCATTGATATTGAAAAAGCTACCATGAAACAACTCAAAGAAATGGCAGGTAATGTGTTCAGAAGGACTATCCAGTGCATCATTGACCCCTTTAAAGTCCTCTGTAGGTCCGGCTTTCCATGCCAACACCTTTCTTTTGGGCCCAAGAGACCCATCTGAAACCGGGGCTCAAGACGCTCTGACACGAGCATCTCCAAAATCACAGTCCATGAAGCAGTATCTGGAGTTGAACTATCCGAAACATTCTCGCTTCAAACACGCCCCCTTTGCTAGCCCACTTTCGGCACATTGGTGCTTGTGGATGGAGTCTCAAAGGGCGGGGGGTTGTCCCTCTCAGCTGAACGCCGCCCTCGCCCTAACCTTTATTCTCTGCGCCGCAACCCATGCTGACCACAGCCTTGCTACTCCAAGGTCAAGAGCTGGGTCCGGTAGCATGTCCTGCACTCTGCTCTGAGCTCTGTCCTTTGTTACTTTTTAAGAGCCTCACCAAAGGCTAAGGAGGTTCTACTCATCCATTCCGCAGACCAAAGTACGTATCACTCCGCCATAACAAGTTCTCAATCATTTGAACCTGTCCTAACAGTGTGTCCCGTAGCACCTGTGGCCCCAGTGGGGTCTTGAGAGGTCGTGTCCATCAGTACCGGTCTTCGACCATCTTCTGTACCTGTCAGCGGGTCAGGTCATGCTTTCTCGCTGGACAAACCTGAGAACCCTGCTGGATACTTCAATGTCTGTTGACCTCTGACATTGCTGAGGAAGGCTGTGGAAAATAACCTTTGCATTCCATGGCCTTCCAAAAGTCAATGCTGTATAATACTAGTATACTAGAAAAAGGGCTGCCAGAACGGCCTATTTTGCAGACATCATCGAAACAAACTCCAAGAATCCCAGGATTCTCTACAAAACACTAAACTCTGTTCTGGTGTATCAGGAGCACAGCTCCATGTCTCCTACAGCTGCTGGAAACTCTGAAGATTTTCACAGATTCTTGGTTCATAAAGTATCAGGCATTAGAGCAGCTATTTCTGGTAACTCTGTTGACCCTGTTCCAGTTCCTCCATCACCACCCACCCTGAGCTCCCTCAATACTGTTTCATACTCTGAGCTGAGTAAGCTTGTTGCGAGGCAGAAGCCATCTGGCTCTCCACTTGATGTTCTACCACCTCGTCTCTGGAAGGCTGCCTTTCAGTGTCTTGGCCCTTCACTTGGTCAGATTATCAATGGGAGCCTCAGCACAGGTGTGGTCCCAGCTGCTTTGAAAGCAGCAGTTATTCAGCCGACCCTGAAGAAACCTGGTGCTGATGTCTCTGTGTTAGAAAATTACAGGCCTATCTCTACCCTGCCCTTTACATCTAAACTACTTGAGAAAGTCGTTTATCAGCAGCTGGTCTCACATTTAGCCGACTCTGATCTGTTTGAGGTTTTTCAATCAGGGTTCAGGTCTGGCCATAGCACAGAGTCTGCTCTACTGAGGGTCCTAAATGACATCTATCTATCACTAGATCAGGGTACATCTGTGGTGCTTCTGTTGTTAGATCTGACAGCAGCCTTCGACACAGTTGACCACGCGATTCTTGTCGATCGCTTGGAACGATGGGTTGGGATCAAAGGGTCTGCTCTGGACTGGTTTAGATCGTATCTCCACAACAGGACATTCTGTGTTAAACTGGGTGATGTTTTTTCATCTTGGGAGGGGCTCCGGTGGGGGGTCCCGCAGGGGTCGATCCTTGGTCCACTTTTGTTTGCCATTTATCTGCTACCTCTGGGGTCAATCTTTTGTAAACTTGGCCTATCATTCCATCTCTATGCTGACGATTGCCAGATTTACTCTCCATTGTGTCAGGAGAAAGGTCACTCTATCCAGTCCTTTGTGTCCTGTCTTAACGAGGTGAAGTCTTGGCTAATGGCCAACGTTCTACATCTGAATGAGGGAAAGACAGAGCTCATTGTTTTTCACCCCAACAGCAGGAATGTGGGTCGTTATGTTGATCTTGGCCCTCTTTCTCCATACTCAAAACCAGTTGTTACCAGTTTGGGGGTGAAACTTGATGCAGGACTTAAATTTGAGGCTCACATCAACTCAGTGATCCGGTCCAGTTTCTTTCACCTGAAACGCCTTGCAAAAATCAAGCATATGTTGTCAAGAGCCCACCTGGAGCGGGTACTGCATGCCTTTGTTATTTCTCGGCTTGACTACTGCAACTCTCTATATGCAGGGTTGTGTCAGTCAACACTGCGTCACCTACAGGTTGTGCAGAACAGCGCAGCCAGGTTCCTGACTGGGACCAGGAAACGGGACCACATCAGTCCGGTTCTGGCCTCCCTGCACTGGTTTCCAGTTTGCTATCGCTCACAATTCAAAATCCTCGTCTTTGTTTATAATTTCTTCCAGGGTGGTGCTCCCCACTATCTAGCCACACTCCTGAACAGACATTCCCCATCACGCGCTCTGCGCTCCTCGGACCAAGGCCTGCTCGCTGTCCCTCGTTCTAGGTGTCGTACTCGCGGGGACCGGGCTTTCTCAGTCCTAGCACCGTTACTCTGGAACCAGTGGCCACCCTCAGTTAGGCTGTCCCCATCTCTGTCAGTCTTTAAGAGTCGCCTAAAAACACACCTCCTCCGCTTGGCGTTTGCTGAACATGTTTGATTTTGGCCCTCTATTATGTTGAATTTATTTCACAGTTTTCATTGGTTCACTCTATCCATTGTTTCACACATTTGTCCTGTACCAGAATGTTTCACCTATTTTGTAATTTGTATTTTGTAATTTGAATTGCTTTTATTTTTGATTTATTCAATATATTTACTTTCCACTGAACCATGTTCAGTGCTATGGAATTTCTGACAGGGTTGCGGAAGGCGCTTTATAAATAAGGCTTTGATTGATTGATTGATTGATTCATTGATTCGTTGATTGATTGATTGATTGATTGATTGATTGATTGATTGGTTGGTTGATTGATTGATTGATTGATTGATTGATTGATTGATTGATTGATTGATTGATACCTACATTTAGAAAATGTATAAGGCGATCTTGGGTCTCAGCACAACTTGCATCTTACAAACAGACAACAAACTGGAACTGGTATCAACATTCAACACAGCATAAACAATATAAAAACACTTACTGTTTGGTGAAACATCTGTCCTCAGAGAAGCAGTTAAAAGAGGAAAGACATATTTAAATCATGCACTCATTAGTCTGAACTGTGGTTGATAGTTAGAAAATCACATAAACAATGTAAGGAAAAACTGAGCCAACCTTCTTTTCAAGAATCAGCCATGGGCCGCTGATCAAAATATTGATTACTTCAACAAATTATGAGTAAGAGTAAGAATTCTTTATTGTCATGGAACATGGAACATTTCATTGGAACCTCACAGCTTACAGGCATAGATTCATTCAGAATACGATAAAATACCATTAAAAGTTGCACACTATTTTTGAGATACCGAAAATAAACACATTTGGGCACTGATCTCACTGGTTCTCATCTGAGAGGTTTTGTCAATTCTGACTGGAATATAGAAGGGTAAAGCTTATAGCACATACATGTCTCTGCTGGTAAAACCATGAGCTCCTCAGCATCACCTATCGTCATCAACATTTACATGGAGGAAGTGGAAACCAAAGCATTGAAACTCCTACAGTGAAACAACACAGAACCACTGGTTCAGGTATGTGGACGACACATGGGTCAGAATTCTTACGAAGAAAGTAGAAGACTTTACCAAGCACCTTAATGCTGTGGACAAGAACATCAAGTTCACCAAACAACTGCCCTTCTTGGACCGTGCTGTACAAATTGAACTGTTGCAAGCCCGAGCAACCAGTCAAGACTTAGAAACAGTGGTCAGAGACAAGGGTCACACAAGGGTCAAGAGGACAAGAGTTCAGGACTTGCTGGTGAGGACAGAACTAGGCAAAGGGTCAAAAGACAAGCTGTCTTCTCTAGATCCACCCATGGACACACCCCTGGGCCCGCCCCTAACTCCACCTCTGGCGGGAAAAGAAGGAATGGCATGGAGTGAGGAGAAGTCCAGCTGGACCCAGGAGCTCTCAGGAATGCTGGAAGAAGATCTACAATTTGCTACCAATATGAAGATTTATGACCTGTGCTCTCATTCCAGGAGTGCAGCATGTATCTTTTGTGCCCTCATGTGAATACTGCATGTAGTGAAATGATACTAAATGTCTTAGGTAGAGCTAAAAAAGTGTATCTGGTAAATGACCCCTTGACCTAAACTGTCAGGAGAGAATGACTTGTGACTCTTGCATTGTTTAGAGCAGTCTCAGAAATGATATAAAAGGATGCAGCTCAGATCGAGCAGGGGTCTTGGGCTTGGTTCTTGGGGAGATTCTGAGAAGACAAGAGCTGGTGTAAACTGACACTTATTTAATCATTTTGAACTAATTCCTCCGTGGGGGATAGTAGTTGTTTTTCACTTTACCCATTTTTGTATTTTGATTTTGTAATAAACCTTTTTTGAAAAAGAAACATAATCCTGATTCTTTCAGGTTTTCTCTAAAGCTTCACGTTTGGGGCCCTGGCCATAATTTGCACAGAGGTAAGCATGTCGAAGATCGGTCTCTGAATTATCAGGACTTACTTTACAGTTTATAACAGAATAATATAAAGAAACCTTAAGATAAGGGAAGTTTTAATTTCCCCCTCCTTGCGAGTAACGAGTTGTCTTAAGGGCGATAAAAGCAAAATATTCGAGGTTATTTTGGCTCTGATTGCAGGTTGAAAAAGTCTCTAATCAGCTGGAAGGTTGGATTAATAAATAAATTGATAAACTTATGATAGCCTGATCAACTAGCATAAATCATTTTATAGTTGCCAACCTCCAACACAAGCTGTTAGAGGCGCAATTAATTCCGGGTAGCCCAAACAATTGCTGAGAGGCTTGGCTTGCCTCCAGACTTCTCTCTAGTATCTTAACCAAAAGGTAACGAGTTTAAAAGAAGTGTAGCACTCTGGGGCTGGCTATTCGTGCAAGTCATTTCACCTTTAAAATAAAAGACAAGATTCTAATTAGATAGTCCAAACCCGGATCTAGTACGATTATACTCGTCGATACACCCCCGAACCCTGATGGATGCACCGTCTCATAAGTTCTAACGGAACTGGGTTTTAAAGGAACCGGTAAATGGGACGGGCACGCGACAGAACAAGATGGAAGTCTCAGCGTTGAAGTCTACAGGAAGCCAGCTCACACAGACCAGTATCTGCATTTGGACTCACATCACCCACTGGAGCACAACATGTCAATCATCAGGACTAAAGTCAGTTTGACTAGCACTGCCTCCCGTGGGGATTTTGAGGAGGATTCTCATTGCATCATTGTATGCCACTTGTAACCTGTGCAAGCTAGACTTTTTAGACCACAGATGTGCAGTATATAGTAGTGGGCAGTATGCTTTAAATAATGCCACTTTAACAGGTGTGGAACAACAGCTGAATTTCCATGCAATGGCATTTGCTTGCACATATAGCTTGCAGCACTGCCTGTAAATATCTTCATCGTCGCTCATAATAATAATAATAATAATACATTTTATTTCTAAGCGCCTTTCAGGACACCCAAGGTCTCTTTACAGAAAACACGTAATAAAATACAATAAAACAATAATAAAACCCAAACAAGAAAAAACAAAGAGAGAAACAGTTCAATAAAATCAGAGGTTGTAGGCAGATTTAAACATGTGTGTTTTGAGTTTTGATTGGAAAAGGGTAAAACTGTCGATGTTCCTGATGTCTGGGGGAAGTGATTTCCAGAGACGGGGAGCAGAGCGGCTGAAATCTCTGCTCCCCATGGTAGCGAGACGGGCAGAAGGAACCGCAAGATGGATGGAAGAAGATGATCTGAGTGAACGGGATGGGGTGTGAATACTTATAAGGTCTGAGATATATGGAGGAGAGAGGTTGTGGATAGCTTTGAAGGTATGGAGGAGAATTTTGAAGATGGACCTGAATTTAACTGGGAGCCAGTGAAGCTGCTGGAGAACCGGGGTGATGTGGTGAAAGGAAGGGGTTCTGGTGATAATACGGGCTGCTGAATTCTGAACCATTTGCAGTTTATGAAGGAGTTTGTTGGGGAGACCATAAAGAAGTGAATTGCAATAGTCGATACGGGAGGTGACGAGGCTGTGGACGAGAATGGCGGCAGTGTGAGGGGTCAGTGAGGGACGGAGACGGTTAATGGAACGTAGATGGAAGTATGCTGACCGAATTAAGTTATTAATGTGAGTTTGAAAAGAAAGTGAGCTGTCAAGAATGACACCCAGACTCTTGACGTGAGGGGAGGGGGAGACTATGGCGCTGTCAATAGTTAAAGAAAAGCTGTCAGATGTTGAGAGGGTGGAGTTAGTGCCAACTAGAAGAAGTTCAGTTTTATTGCCGTTGAGTTTGAGGAAATTAGAGGTGAACCATGATTTAATTTCAGAGAGGCAGAGTGTAAGGGAGGATGGTGGGAGAGTTGAGTTGGGCTTACTGGAAATGTAGAGCTGGGTGTCATCCGCAAAGCAGTGAAACTGGATATTGAATTTGCGGAAGATTTTGCCGATAGGGAGGAGATATACTATGAAGAGGAGGGGCCCCAGGACAGAGCCCTGGGGCACACCTGACTTGACTGGGGAGGGTTCTGAGGTAAAGGATTTTAACTGGATGAACTGAGTGCGGCCAGTAAGGTAAGATTGAAACCAGCGGAGGGGGGTGTGAGTGATGCCTAAGGAAGAGAGTCTATTGAGGAGGATGGGATGAGAAATGGTGTCAAAGGCCGCATTCAGATCGAGGAGAATGAGAATAGAGATTAAACCAGAATCAGCAGCAATGAGTAGGTCGTTAGTGATCTTGATGAGAGCTGTTTCTGTGCTGTGGTGGGGACGGAAACCCGACTGAAACTGTTCATAAAGGTTATTGCAGGTGAGATGTGAATGGAGCTGAGATGCAACAGTTTTCTCAAGGACTTTGGAAATGAAGGGAAGATGGGAAATGGGACGGAGGTTATTGAAATCATTGGGATCTAAACCAGGTTTTTTTTAGAATAGGGCTGACTGAAGCGGATTTGAATAGGGAGGGGACCATACCAGAGGATAGTGAGGAATGAATAATGGCCGTTATAAAAGGGAGCAGAGAAGAAAGGCAGGATTTAACTAAAACTGTTGGAATAGGGTCCAGTTGACAGGTGGAAGGTTTGGATTTGGTGATGTAATCTAATATTTCTGAGGGATGGGAAAGTTCAAAGGAGGAGAACTGAATGGTGGTTTCAAATAAATCAGGAGAGGGATTGGCTGTGATAAAGTGTACAAGATATTTTATCTTTTCACAGAGTGCAAGACTGTTGCTGGACAACTTAAACACAGGAAAATTAAGCCTTTTATCCTGGGTGTAGATTAGAACAACACTTTTGCTCGACTTGTATTTTAAATCATATTCCATTCCATACCCAGTACTAACATCTAGGAGCTGCTGCAGTCCTGCACTACTTGGACTAAAAACTACGAGGTCATCCGCATACATAAGGTGATTAATCAAAACATCACCTATCAAACAGCGCCCAGATAGCTCATCAACAAATAAGTTGAACCAAACAGGAGATAAATTTCCACCCTGCCTGACCCCATTGGACACACTAAAGGGATCAGAAATACTCCCACCCTATTTAACATGCATCTTCTGGTGGGCATACCAGTAGGCAAGCACTCTCACAACACCTCCAAGCACACCCCTTTGCTGTAATTTGGTAAAAAGCTTTTTTATGATTCACTCGATCAAACACTTTGGAGACATCAATAAAACTCATGAGAATAGTAACATTTTTTGACCTTTATAGTTTCACTATTTCCTTAAGAGCATAGACACACATGTCCGTACCAACTGACTATCAGGGGAAAATAAATACTCACTCTATCCAAGACGATTCTTTCCATGACCTTAGATAAAACACTAGTCAATGCAATGGGTCTATAGTTGGGCAACCAGTTTTTCCCGCCTTTTACTTAATTATTGGAACAAGCAATGTGGTCATCATTGTATTAGGAAGTATGCCGTGAGACATAAATCCAGTAAAACAGATTGCTAATAAGGGAGCAAGCCTGGGACTAGCATATTTCAAATGCTCTGCTGTGACTGAATCC